CAATTGTAGAGAATATGTCTTCATAGGAGATAATGATGATGGCTAAAGGCCCTAGTACCCTCCACCTCCAACGGTGGCTCAGTGGCTAAGATGCTGAGCTTGTCGATTAGAAAGGTCGGCAGTTCGGCGGTTCAAATCCCTAGCTCCACATAATGAAGTGAGCTCCCATTACTTGTCCCAGCTTCTGCCAACCTAGCAGTTCGAAAGCACATAAAAATGCAAGTAGAAAAATAGGAACCACCTTTGGTGGGAAGGTAACAGTGTTCCGTGCGCCTTTGGCATTGAGTCATGCCGGCCACATGACCACAGAGATGTCTTCGGATAGCGCTGGCTCTTCGGCTTTGAAATAGAGATGAGCACAGCCCCCTAGAGTCAGAAACAACTAGCACATCTGTGCGAGGGGAACCTTTATCTTTAAAGCTAGTTCAGCTCTCCTACAACAGAAGATTGAAAATCCTTTATAACATTTAGAAAGGGAGGCAGATGTCCACAAATGGTTTTGCAGGGAGGAAGGCCAATGATGGGTTGGATTGTTCATTTTTTCAAAAAATATAAAAATCACCCCTTCCTTGTTCCTCAACCTCTGTCTCTTAGACTCATTTAATTACATTTTATCATCCCCTCTTTCCCTGGGAACCTTGGGCAAACAGCTGCCCCTTAGTGCCTTCTCTGGTCTTTATGCATTGCCGCACTTTAACTGCATGGCTTCTGATGACTCACAATTGCGACACACAACCACCATCAACGACAGACACCGTAGATACCGAGACAGACAGTACCTCCCGCTCAACTGATGTCCTCTTGGCCTCGACTCCAAAATTGATTGGGGGGGGGGGGGAAAGGCTGCAGGGAAACTGAGAAGGAATTGGGGAAAATGGGCATAGCTGGTGGATGGAACCCCCTTCCATGGGTGCCCAGGAACTGATTTTATGAGGGCACTTTGTCCCAGGTGGCATTGAAGTTGGGATAAGACCAGTCCCTCTGTTTTGAATGCTCCCAGTTAAGGGAGGTGATAGCCATTCTTCTATTGACCTCAAGGCAATCTGTGGTCAAGTATAGGTGAGTTAGAGTCAGAGGTGGTATTCTGCCAGTTCAGATTGGTTCGCACAAACCAGTTGTGGAAATCACAGGTGGTCCCGCCCACCCATCCTGGCTTTATGTTATCCCATTTGGGCACTTTTTTTAGACAAAGCGCATGCACGGAAAGCTGAGCGCATGCGTGGATGAGGACGCGCGCGCAAGGGGTGTGATGACTCAGGGGGTAAGATGCTGAGCTTGTCGATCAGAAAGGTCGGCAATTCAACGGTTCAAATCCCTAGCACCACATAACGGCGTGAGCTCCCATTACTTGTCCCAGCTTTGGCCAACCTAGCAGTTCGAAAGCACGTAAAAATGCAAGTAGAAAAATAGGAACCACCTTTGGTGGGAAGGGAACAATATTCCGTGCGCCTTCGGCGTTGAGTCATGCTGGCCACATGACCATGGAGACGTCTTCGGACAGCGCTGGCTCTTCGACTTTGAAACAGAGATGAGCACTGCCCCATAGAGTCAGGAATGATTAGCACATATGTGTGAGGGGAACTTTTTATCTTTTTAGGGAAGGTAAGTGAATACCTCCCCTGGTTAGAGTTTAAGAACATCGGTTTGGGAAGTGACTAAAAAAAAACCTTTGGAGAAATCTTGCTTTCACAAAAGGAACCCTCAAAATATTACTATTTTTTTGCGTTTCCTTTCTGTCTTCATATTACACTGAAATCATATTTGCAGTGGGGGCACTCTACCAACCAAGGTATCCACCAGAAGGTGAAGGGCTTTACCAATGGTATTGTCCATGTATCTCAAGGAACATGGAAGAGTCCCACCAAACCCTTTGTAGCACTCTCGTGACCTCTGGCAGCCATTATTTTTTTACCATATTCAAGGCCAGATCCAAGGTGTCCTGAGCCACAGCATCAGGCTACTGCAAAAATGTTGCGTTTCCTTCCCAGAGATTGCAATT